TAATATACTTGTCTCGGTCAGGCCTGCTGTGTTCGTGGAAGCGTCCAAGGACATGGAATATCTCATGCAAGACGATACCTTTATGTTCACAACCCTCTCCAATTGATACATTTTGACTACCGTGAATTCTACCAACGTAAGACCAGCAGCTAAAACATACAAGAAAAAGAGTAAGTACATAAACTAGGATTACTGTACATGTAGACTATAAACTGTACAATCAATACTGCATGATACATAGATAGTTATACATCAATCTGCAAAATTGACTTCTGCATGTACGTGTAATCATGAATGGTAACACTCTTACCCTCTTCCTTTGATAAATCTCACGTAATTAGCTTCGTTAGTTCGTGGTACCAAAGTAATGCACGTCTTATTATGAAACTCTTCTATAGCCTCGTTGATGGCTTTGACAGTTGCTGGATGATCTGTAGAATTGAAAAAAAGAGAGCTCATTGATTAACACAAGTGTCATTTTAAAGAGGGTTGGTTCATTAACACAAGTGTCATTTTAGTTCACCTGAAGCAGAGCTATCAAGAATATAAGGGACAACACCATTAGGCCACAGGATATGCGAGTGATTTAAAACAAGATTTTGTGGCCCACCAAAATCACTGGTCCTCTCAATTTGTGCCCGCTGTCCAGGGAGTAGCTTGATATCTCCTTCCCACAGATTTACATCTAGTCATTAAAAGAATACACATGCAAATCAAGTGTTGCACATTATGTTTGCCTACTTTTTCTTGCATTGATTTCAACCTCTGTCTCACTGCTAGTATCAGCAATAGCACTCAAGCCCCACTGCAGTAAAATGAATCCAAGTGCTAAGAAATATCCCTTCATCTTTCACTTAAGAGTATAAATTTTTTTCCTGCAATACTAAGCTTAGAGATACATTTTACTTTTATAGTTTTACAGAAGCCATGCAGGAAAAGTGGAGGATATGACAGCATGGCTTTTACATCTTACATCTCCACACTTAAATTACTTTTTCACAAAGTGTGTAATAGTACATGCCATATTAGATCACTTTCACATGATTTAATTAATGCATTGAATATACACGTATAAGAGCAAGTACTCATACGGTACTGTATGTGGGCATATACTCATCATCGTCCCACAAAACTGTCATCCCACAAACCGTGTGGTCTTTCTTCACTATGACTATGTGGCACTACTCTTTTGTGGTTGTGGATACCTTTACAAGTCGAAAGTACATGAAGTAGTAGTAACATCATTTAGAGTTTACATCATTTCCTAAAGATACTAATGTTTATACTAACGCATTCAGTGACACATTGTGTAGTAACAATACTTATCTCTGTAAGAATATATCTTAGCAACTACCACAAAAACAAATTAACCAATACACTTGTGGTCTGGGAGGACAATCCCTATGTAAACTTTTGACCACATTAAAGGGTAAGTTCAATGCATTTTTGAGGTATTTTTTTAATTGGGTTAATATGATTGCCTGACCACACAAATGATGTGTTCCAACTCCCATTGTCTGAAAAAAATTATTCACTGAGATATGAGCCTTCAAAAGTGCCCATTTTTCCTTCCTGCCAGTTTACTTCCTGTCGGTGGGTGGAGCTAAACGTGACATCACTAGAGCATAGATATTAGAGTACAGGAAAAAAATTAAAAATTATTTCCTGTACTCTAATATCTATGACTAGAGGCAAGCTGCAGCTAAATCCATTCCTTTATAGGGAGAAATAATCCTTTATTCTCATGCCTGGCAATGTAATATCACTAATTTAAGCATTAGAATCATTAGCTTTCATTATGGAACTGCAAGAAAAGGACACAAAATAGCAAATAAGAAGATTCACCAAAGTGTGGTATTATGACTTTTTCTTACAGTTCCATGCTTAGAATAATGAACGCTAATGATTCTAATGCTTAAATTAGTGATATTACAATACTAGGCATGAGAATAAAATATTATTTCCCCTGTAAAGGAATGGATTTAGCTGCAGCGCTGCTACCTATGCCTCTTGTGACGTCACGCGTTAGCCACACCCACCAACAGGAAGTAAACTGGCAGGAAGGAAAAATGGGCATTTTTGAAGGCTCATATCTCAGTGAATAATTTTTTTCAGACAATGGGAGTTGGAACACATCATTTGTGTGGTCAGGCAATCATATTAACCCAATTAAAAAAATACCTCAAAAATGCATTGAACTTACAATTAGATCTACTATTAATATTAATACTGTGTTTACTGTTTATAGCAATATAATTATAGCAAAATTTGGGGAACCTGATCCCCGTTAGTTTATCATAGCAAAGGCAGCAAAGAGTGCAACACAAAGACACAGGACACCAGGTATAGCAGCAAAAGAGGAGCTGGGAATGTCTGTAACTGGAGCAGCTGTGAGCATAGATGAATCATCCTCCTCCTCATGATAGTGTCCCTCTCCATCAGAATACGCTTCAGGACTTCCAATCTCATAAACGTCCATGAAATAGGTCCCCTGAAACAAACCGCCCTTGCCATCTTGGCAGAAGTATCCTTCAAAACGAGTATAGTCCGACGTCTCATTGGAGCCTGAGACGCAAAAACCCAGAATAAGACCAAATACTGTGTACCCTAATTTCACAGCAGCCAGGCCGCACTTCTCAACAGGTTTAGTCCGAATAATGGCACTGTCCGAAACCTCTGGAGTGAGACCTTCCAGGAGTTTGAGCGATCCTGATACCAAGACTGAGTAGCAGCCCAAGTGGTTCAAATCTAAAGCCAAGAATTAATCATAATGTTAACAAATCTCATTCATTATGTTAATAATAATTATACATGAG